GGATATTTACACGATTCTTCCCTGATTGGGACTAATTTCGGTCCCAGTCGGGGTACTCTTTTTGGTCCAACTTTCTCCAAATTGAATTCTGTTTGCATCGTTGCGACCAGACAGTCGAACTCTATCCAACGATTTAACTTTTATATTTATTTGTAATACTTTTTCCGACATCATATTTTTGGGTGTTTGACTTTAACAGAGTAAAAATTGGTTTAATTGACCTTTCTCAAAAAAGGTTCTCTCATTTAATTCATATCAATTATTCTCATGATTTATTTGAACAAATCATTTCAATATTTACATTCTAAACAAATTCTTTATTTACTCTTGATTTGGGTCTGTACTCAGGTTCCCAATCAAGACCACACAAATAGTCCACATATTGGATTTATCTCTATGAGACTTATCCAGATTTTGATATTAGATGTCAAAACAAATTTCGTATCGGCCCAAAGCCCAACAATAATTTATTTTAATCAAAACAAATTTGATTAATTGATTATTTATTCATTAATAATTCTAGGGTATATTTTGGGGTGTTACAGTTTCTACCTATATTCTTTGCTAGTTTGGGGTTTAAACTTTGTTCTTGAGAATCGAATCTTAATAGATTCTTGTTGTACCTGAAACACTCAAACAAACGTTAGCTCATATATTGTTTGTTAACATCAAAACACAAGATTTAGCAAACCAAGGCTATCAATCTCTCTCTTTTTTATGTTGGCAAACAAAATACTTCAAGGTTAGTTAGGCGGGAGAACAAATAATGAAGCCCCCCTAAGAATAAGTTTAAATCAATTTAAAATTATACTAACCACTTAAAGAAAAAAATTCACCTAATGCAAAGATATATATATATATATATATATATATATATATATATATATATATATATATATATATATATATATAATGGTATAATTAAAGATTTAAAATGAAATATGAAAAAAATACCTCAAAGACGGCGAAGGGATGCGTCGGCAAAGGGAGGAAGACAACGAAGGGTTGGCGAAGGGAGGAAGACGGCGAAGGCCACGGCGAAGAGTTGGCGACGAAGGGTTGGTGTTGGGACGAGGCACGGCGAAGAGAGGGGTTGGTGAGGGAAGGCACAGCGATGGGTGGCGTCGGCGAAGGGAGGAATTCAGCGAGATGCATCGGCGAAGGGAGGAAATCGGCGAGGTAACGTTAGTGAAGACTAGCGTCGAGGAGGAGTGACACGGCGAAGCGTTTGGGGCTTTTTTTTCAAAATCGCGTAAGGATAAGAATTTAGAGGCTGATTATAACATAACATTTTAAATTAGTTTTTCTTAAGAACCGATGCAAAAGGGTATTTGCATCGGTTATTAGGAATAACTGATGCAAAAGGTTAACAGCTTTCGAATCGGTTATTCTTAATAACCGATGCAAATACCCTTTTGAACCGGTTATTAAGATTAACCAATTTAAATGAGTAGCGGTATGCGAATTTTTTTTGACTTTTAAATCGTTTGTTTTGCTGACCAATGCAAACGAGGGGATTTATTTGGTCTTTTTTTAGTAGTGGTATTAAAATACTCACTTTGAACTTTTCTTGTGTTTATTAAAAGTTTAAGTTTGATGCAAAGAAACACACACACAAATGTACTCAAGTTATGTTGCATATGCACCACTTTAGACAAATTGACCCATTCATTTGGATATACAATTTCATGTACTATCTTCGTCGCTGAGTATTTACTCAGTATTGACTTTTTATCAATTAACCTTTTTCATCCATTGACCAGTAATTAAATAAAATATATAATATATTTTAATTAGATAAAATAATATTTTGAAAATATTTCATATAGTAAATCTAATAAAGCAATTTTGTATCAACATCTAATATCATTTTTATTTAATTTGAAGTCAAAGTTTATCAAATTTGACTGCAAAAAGTTAAAAGTAGAGAAATACTCAGGGACAGAGGAGAATACGATAACTGGTACTATTATTTTTTGGTGAATTAAATGCTTTCAGTATAAAATATTAAGTGTTACTCCTTTCATGCCTAAAAAATTGTCACACTTTAATTTTTATGGTCAAACTGTGGCACTATTTGACCACGAATAATAGAAAAAATAAATGTATTTACAATGTAAATTTAGTAATTGGTTTTATTTCAAAATATAGTTTTGAAATATCAAATTTTTATACTTCCTTCGTCCCGTTTTAAATCGTCTGTTTTGACTTTTAGACATATTTAAGGAAAAGAAAAAATAGAGTTGATTTTCTGAAATTGTCATTTTTTTTAATAGAGGTGACGATGAATGAGAAGATATGGTGGAGAAGAATAACATATTTTAGGGGTAGTTTAGGTATTTTACTCTTAAAAGTTTATGATAACAAGTAACAGACAATTTATTTTGGGACGGAGAAAAAAGGAAAATAGACAATTTAAAATGAGACAGATGTAGTAATATTTAATTATTTTAAACGATGTTAAATTCGTGATCAAAATGTGTCACAGTTTGACAAAAAAAGTCAAACTGTGTCAATCTTTTAGGAACGGAGGGAATACATAATAATGTTTGTGTTTTGAATCATGATTTTTAACTAAAGTTATTTTTAATTGAATTTATATAGAGACTGATGTAGGCTAAATAAATAAAACTTAAAATAAACCTAGGGGTACACCAAAATAGGGTACCCCATTTGAACACCAGGAAAACACAGATACTAAGTGTTTTGTCCGATATACAAATGGGTAGAGCTGGCAAAACAGAACCGGAACCGATTACCCGAACCGAAATATCCGAAACCGAAACCGAAATGACCCGAAAAATGAAGATCCGATCTATAACCGAAAACCCGAAATGATCCGAATCGAACCGAAACCGAACTAAATAATTCATATCCGATTTAAATCTGAAACCGATTAGATCCGAAACCGATAATATCCAAACCGATTAAACCCGAAACCGATTAGATCCGAAACCGATAATACCCGAAACCGATAAAACCCGAAACCGATTAGATCCGAAACCGATTAGATCCGAAACCGATTATAACCTACATAGATAATTTTGGAAGTATGTTTTCCTTTCAATAAGCATATTATGCTTTTAAAATTTTACTTTTATTTGACCATTTGAACTAATTATATTACTTGCTCATTCCCTCATAAAATGGATTACATGTTTTAGTCTGGCTACAATAAGTTATCATATCCAAATTTCTAAAAAAAACTTATAATGCATGTAATTTTATAATTAAAAAATTATAATAAATACAAATAAATTTTAATTACCAAATATGGTAAAATAAAACAAAAAAGTAAAACTTTTCCTTAAAAACTAAAAATATATTTTCTATCAAAATTATAAATATAATTAGTCAAATAAAGTGTAGAATAATAAGATTCATAGAAGAAATTAATAAATACATCATACCCTCGCATACCACGATATCTACAAAAAATGAAATGTCTAACAAAGTTATTTAAGAAGAGTTAATGTATTATCTTTCATATGCACATACATGTATAATATTTATGTATTCCATCAATAATAGACATTGTAATTGGATTACTTAAAGAGTTATTCTCTTATTTATTTAATGTGAGTTTTATTTTTTAATATAATACGGAGTACCATTTTTAAATAGCTATACTTATAAAAAAA